TCCCCTACCCCTACCCCTACCCCCCCCCACCCCCTAACTACAAGCATACAACTTCTAACTTTTACTCCCCTCTCCCTCCCCCTCCCCTCCCCCCCCCCCCTAACTACAAGCATAAATTTGTTTAATAAATTACATAGAATGACTGCAGAAACTATTCACAAGCTTGCGCACACGTGGAAAAGTTGCATCTTCCTGAGAATAGAGAACTCAGAACCCCGGACAGCCGTGGAGGCCTAAAATCAAGACAGTCCAAAAGAAAGGCCTTCTGTCTACACACTTTCGAGAATAGAATGAAATAGACCAGACGGCTGTGATTGGTAAAGTAGGGGGAGGTGAGACTTGCCTCCTTTCACTTTGTCGTACTCGGAGGAGTGGTGACCCAAGAGTACACGCCGAACGAAACGATGGTGGCTCCATACGGGAAATTGTCGGGTTCTTATGGATGCATTAACTAGAATTAATTGGAATTGGAAGTAACTGTAAATGGGGGATAGAAAAGAAAAACAAAAAGTTATATACATAAAAACAAAAAATTTCAAAGTGAAAGATATTCGGAAAGATATTTCAGAAATTCGTAATCAAGAAAAAAAATTGTCCAAGTCCTAAATAGCAATTGTATCATATATAGTCGACACTGAACGTAGGCTGCCACTACAAAAGGCCACTTTTAGTGGCAGAAGCCAATACTAATGGCGACATAACGAACAACTTTTAGGTGCGACAAAGTCGTCCCTGAATGTAGGTCGCTAGACTAATGGCAACACAGAAGGTACGTCGCTAATACAAAGAACCACCTGTCGTCCATGAAAGTAGAAGGCGACTAAAAGCCTTGCGTTTAGTGGCGACTTTATCGTCACTGAGGGTAGGTCGCCAACACCAAAGGCGACTTAAAGCCTCACTTTTAGGACGACTTCGGCGCTACTGACTGTAGGTCGCTAATCCTAAAGGCGATATAAAGAACCACTTGTAGTGGCAATATGGTCGTCACTGAATGTACGTCGCTATTCCGAAAGGCTACCCAAAGCACGACCTTTTGTGGCGACAACAATGTTCGCCACCAAAAGCTGTCAAAACTTTATTACACGTAGTGTGAGTTACTGAAGCCAATTGGATTATTCTTTAAATTATTACTTTTCTCATAGAAAATATTAGTTAATACAAACTAGTGGGACTACACTGGATTTGTGTTTGTAAATGTGTAATTGGAACAAGTTTTGTTAGGCAAAATTTGGCCAAATCGAACAGAAGTAAAATATAAGTAGCAAACGGAGCTGTAATACCAATGATGTGCTTTACAAGGAGCTAAGAAAGTGACAGATAATAGCATAACGTAACCAAGTAAATTACAGAAGATAAACTACTAGGATAGACTGAGAGAGATACTGAGTCAAAGAAAGACTGTTAGATCCCAGAATTTCAATAAGCTTTAAGTAAATTGTGTCTTAGACTGTATGAAATAGTAAATATTGGCATTAGAGTTGCAGTCAAAGCTGAAAATAAAACTACTCCTTTCTCTTTCCTTTTCGAGCCGATTATTTTCTCTTGATTATTTTTTCTTTTTTTCTTTTTCTGGTGAACCCATCCTTCTACTTCATTGTTCCGGAGAAGTCACTAAACCTGTAATCTCCTTTTTGGGATTTGTAAGTCCAAAATTTAGAGGCCATTTTAAGCAATGTAACTTGGATATGCAAGCCAAAAGGATGATGATTGGAAACAGTCTGGAAAAATGCATGTGTCAATCAATTTCAGAGAATGCACCGGCGTGAAATTTCTGGCACAATGACTGAGAAGCAGCTTCTATTCTTGATAGATCCTACAGCAACACAATAAACCAATTCAACTAAATGAAAAAGGAAAATGCTTCAAAACCAATGTGGCATCTTCAGCAAGAGGTCTTTACCTTTCCTTCAAATGTAATTACGAGAGGGCCTTCTCTTGATCTGCGATAGCCTCCTTCATATCCAAGAGAACAGGTTAGAGACAGGAAGGAGGAAAAATATTGGATGGACTGTGGGGAAGAAAAAATGATTTACCTATGTAGAGATCAGGGAACTGAGCGCAAAGCTTTGACAAAGGTTGAGCAACTTCAACCTGCAACACAGAGTGACACATAATGGTCAATGGAATAGGACAAAATAGGAAGTATTAGATATACATTTCTAACATTATGTGATAACTGAAACTAACAGTAAATGAATTGCACCCAACTGAAGGTTATCCAGTGTGTAAAATACTATAAATGATACTCCATTGATGAACGAATAGATATATTGTTATCTCAAGTATCTGTAACGATGATTGCATGATAGCTGCAATACAGAGCAGGTTCCATTACATCAACTTAATCGTACTAAGAACGCTAGCAGCACATAGATAAAGTGAAAGTTATTTGAGCATATGCATTTTTCAGTTATAGTACGATTAAGGTGACTATGGTTCCAAGGAAAACATAAAAGACAATAGTTAGCCAAATCAGGGAGAAGAGTTCCCATAAGAAAGGCGAAAGCGAGTCTTTTGTCCTAACAAGAAACAGTTTGGAAGAAATGAAACTTGGAAAGGCCACTTACTAGCACATGGGGAGCAAGGGTTCGAAAATACTAATGATATAAAAGGAAATGACTTCTTGATGTTACACACATCAACAAGGAAACTATAAAAAGGGGCATAAAAGAATCTAAGAAAGAGTTACGTAGCACTCACATCAGAAAGAATTGTTGCAAAGCATTTTGATACAAATGGATCCATCAATACCAGGATGCCATTAGATTTTGCCAATTCGATCAGACAATCCCATTGCCGATCCAGCTCTACAACATTTGTCGCAGTGAGAATAATCACATTATGGCACTTGATCTACAAAAGACAAAATGCACATGCTAAAAAACTTTTTACTTCATACGTATCCTAAACAAATAGGTAAGAGTGTCAGCAGGAATATGAACATAAAACAGCCCCGTGTAATTAAAAGAATGAAATTAAAGAGGGAAATCGAGGCAAAGACAAGGTAGCTTCACTGTCAACGGTTAGCTTTTTCCATATTTGTTAACCATATTGACAGCTTTGCAAATTGTTAGTGCTATATAAGAAAATCTATTTAACTTTCACAATTAGTGATCCAATTTCTTAAATCATCAAGAGTCTCCTCTTTTCTTTTTCTTTAATAAAATCCATCTTTTAAAAAATAAAAATAAAAACTTCAAAGGCCAATAAGCAACTTAGGGCATTCAATCAAACACTACCACTAGAAATATCTAGAACGAAAACTTGCAACAATAGCAACCATCATGCCTCAATCCCTACATAAGTTGGGGTCAACTATATGAATCACCCATATCCATTCGGCTCTATTTGCACCCTTGGTTAAATGAATCATCATATCCATTTGGCTCTATTTAGCCCTTTTCACTCTATTATATGCAATATTTTAAGATGAATTAGTTTTTCTATAAAACCAGAGGATCTCTAAACCTCACACTTATTTGAACACAAACATGCACATCTCTAAAGACGACGGACAAATACCAGAGAAAACAAAAAATAGGAAAGATGATGAGTTTTAGATGTGAGCCTATTTGGATATAATAGAGTCAGATTAAAAACATTGCTGGCCAAACTTCGGCAGCAAGGGGAAGAATCTATAGAAGATTCATATTTTAGATAATGACTGCAGGGGCACAATCAAAACTACGCTTGTAAGTCGTAGGTAAATAAGTTCCACGTCCCCTCCTGCTAACAGAAAAACAGAAAAGGGGAAAGTTGAAGAGTCATAAATGTGTGCCTATTCAGATGTGATAGTTTCAGATTTAAGAACATCTTTGTTGGATAAGTGTAATTTTTTTTTTATAGGCAACAAAACTAGTATTTTTTTATCAAGACAAGATGAGTAACGACAAAAAGAACTATATCAATCATACTATAAGAAAATGCATTTTATATATTTGGCTGGTTCCTCAGCTTCAGTCTTCAAATATGGCTCTTTGGTATTGAGGGCAAAAGTCTACTAGTTGCTACATGCATCTAAAAAGATGTTTCGACTTGTCAAAAGAAGACCTCGAAAATTTCACCTCTAAAGTGATAACCCAAATGGACAGCTCTTCTATAAAACTGATCTTCTTTTTATAGAAACAAAAAAGCATTTTCTACAAGAACAAAAAAGGTCCTGACTTATAGCTAGATACATTCAGCCGTTTGGATCTTTTTTGTTGGATACTCTCAAATCAGTATGAATGAGAATTGATTCGCTGCATGAAAAACAAATCTACTAAAACCGCCTTCCACTCGCTTAAAAAAATTATGAGGTTGTCACTTGCCTTTTGCGCCCTATGCCATTCTTTTAAGGTGTTTTACCACTTGATGAAAAGAATGTTTTATTTGATTTCCAAATTCTAAAAATTAAAGTACATGGAACTTGAGAAATTAATCCTAGCGTGCTATTTATTAAGTGGCATCAAAGAAAAGGCCTAACTAACTGAATTTCCAATTTTGACAATAGAGCTTGGCTAATCAATTTAGCAGATGACAATGTACAAAAATGTACAAATAAAGCAAAATTTTCCATTGGACCATCCACTTGGACACTAGGTAGACATCTGATAGAGACATAACATGC